TGGAGGAGTGTCCCCCTTTCACCACATCCTCTCCGGCATAAATTGTCATTGGTGTTTTTGATTTTAGCCATTCTGACAGGAGTGAGATGGTATCTCAGAGTTGTTTTGATTTGCATTTCCCGGATGGCTAAGGATGTTGAGCACTTTCTCAAGTGCCACTCAGCCATTTTAGACTCCTCTATTGAAAACTCTCTATTTAGTTCTGCAGCCCACTCTTTAATAGGGTCCTTTGGTGTTTTGGAGACTTGCTTCTTGAGTTCTTTGTAAATTTTGGAGATCAACCCTCTGTCAGATGTGGGATTAGTGAATATTTTTTCCCATTCTGTGGGCTGCCTTTTTGTCTTGCTGACTGTGTCCTTTGCCTTACAGAAGCTTCTCAGTTTCAGTAGGTCCCATTTATTAATTGTTGATCTCACTGTCTGTGCTACTGGTGTTATGTTCAGGAAGCTGTCTCCTGTACCAATTCGTTCAAGGGTACCACCCACTTTCTCTTCTAAGAGGTTCAGTGTGGCTGGATTTATGTTGAGGTCTTTGATCCATTTGGACTTAAGTTTTGTGCATGGCGATAAACATGGATCAATCCGCATTCTTCTACATGCCAGTCTCCAATTATGCCAGCACCATTTGTTGAAGATGCTTTCTTTATTCCATTGTATATTTTTAGCTTCTTTGTCAAAGATCAGATGTTCGTACGTGTGTGGGTTAATACCCAGATTTTCAATTCGATTCCATTGGTCTACCTGTCTATTTTTGTGCCAATACCAAGCTGTTTTCAGGACTATAGCTCTATAATAGAGCTTGAGGTCAGGGATGGTGATGCCTCCGGACGTTGCCTTGTTGAACAGGGTTGTTTTGGCTATCCTGGGTCTTTTGTTTTTCCATACAAAATTGATTATTGTTCTTTCAAGGTCTGTGAAGAATTGTGCTGGGATTTTAATGGGGATTGCATTGAATCTGTAGATTGCTTTTGGCAGGATTGCCATTTTTACTACATTGATCCTACCTATCCAAGAGCATGGGAGATCTTTCCATTTTCTGAGGGCTTCTTTAATTTCTTTCTTTAAAGATTCAAAGTTCTTACGATACAGGTCTTTCACTTGTTTGGTTAGCGTTACCCCAAGGTATTTTATATTGTTTGTGGCAATTGTAAAGGCTGATGTTTCTCTGATTTCTCTTTCAGCCCTTTTATCATCTGTATATAGTAGGGCTACTGATTTTCTTGAGTTGATCTTGTAGCCTGCCACTTTGCTGAAGGTGTTAATTAGCTGTAAGCGTTCCCTGGTAGAGTTCTTTGGGTCATTGATGTAAACTATCATATCTTCTGCAAACAGTGAAAGTTTGACCTCTTCCTTCCCAATTTGTATCCCCTTGATCCCCCTTTGTTTTCGTATGGCAATAGCTAGAACTTCAAGTACCATGTTGAAAAGGTATGGAGAGAGTGGACAGCCTTGTTTTGTTCCTGATTTTAGAGGAATTGCATTGAGTTTCTGTCCATTTAGTTTGATGATGGCTGTTGGTTTACTGTATATAGCTTTTATTATGTTTAAGTATGTCCCTGTCATCCCAGATCTCTCCAAGACCTTTATCATGAAGGGGTGTTGGATTTTGTCAAAGGCTTTTTCAGCATTTAGTGAGATGATCATGTGATTTTTGTTTTTCAGCTTGTTTATATGGTGGATTACGTTGATGGATTTTCATATGTTGAACCATCCCTGCATCCCTGGAATGAAACCTACTTGATCGTTTTGATGTGTTCTTGGATCCAATTTGCCAGTATTTTTTTTTGAGTATTTTTGCATCAATGTTCATGAGGGATATTGGTCTGAAGTTCTCTTTCTCAGTTGTGTCTTTGTGTGACTTGGGGATCAAGGTTATTCTTTGAGAAAATCAACAAGATTGACAAACCTTTGTCCAAACTTACCAAACAGCAGAGAGTGAACATGCAAATTAACAAATTCAGAAATGAAAAGGGGGACTTAATAACGGACTCTGAGGAAATCCAGAGAATCATCAGGTCATACTTTGAAGGACATTATGTTACATAAAGAGGGACCATACCAAAACCCCAGTCCATTACTTCCACCAAGCAGAAAGCAAGCAGAATTGAAATACTCTTCAATTCAATAAAAATGGAATGATAAAGTGAGCCAATACACATATTAATCCTGGCTCAGTTTTCCTTTATCAGCTGTGATAGGTGATACAATAAGCCTTGCTCCATTGCCTTCTCCTCTCTTTACCTCTCATTTCTTTCAGTGACTTTTGCTTAGGAGACAAGAGTTGAATGAATCATATGTTCAGAAAAGAACGTATGCGCTTCTTCCCTGCTCTTGTAAAAGGAAATGTGAGAACTGACAGGAGAACAAGAAACCCTGCCAAGCATGAAATGAATACAGATATGCACCCATCATTAAGTATAAAACATCTGACACTCAATATTTTGTAAAAGACTAAGAGTAGGCTCCAGTTTAAACTCATCCCTGAAACCCCTCCTATTGTGGATCAGATCACATGAACAACACACAAAACGTGGCCCTTCATTCACTTAATGTGTGTGACAATAAAAAACCAAATCATAGATGCCAGATCAACAGTATCTTCAAATTATCTGAGGTCCAAGGATCTGCTCTCAGAACTTAATTTGGTCACAACAAATATTGTGGTACCAAAATGCAGAGAAGTACGAGTTTGAGGCCAACTTGAACAGCTGGACAGAAAGACATAGAAATTGTGGGGACACAGAAAGGGTAACCCCTCACTCTGAAGGGATGCCTCATACTAGCTGAATTCCAAATCAGTTACCCTGTTCTGTAAAGGCTGATGGAGTTATGTATGGTGATATTCCGTGTATTTGAGGCTAAGTCCTGAGTGTACATGACCTTGGACCTGGTGTCACTCCTTTCCTCAGTTTACAGTGAAGATTTCCCATCTTCTATTTTTCTTGGGCTGGATGTTCACTTTCTTGGATGTAATCCTGTGAGGTGTCCTCAGGAACCACCCTGCAAGGGCAGAACCTTCAAAACCCAGCAAAGTCTATATGTGATTATTGTGTTATATCACAGGAACACCCCATCTTTATGGGAGTTATTTGGTTATTCTATATGCATTATGTCTGCACTTTAGAGAACAATAAATGTAGCATAAAGGTTTTAGAATTTTTTAAAACTTGTATTTTATTTCCTCATCTGTATGTGAGTGTTGATCACTAGTGTAAAGGCCCCTGCAGAATTCAGAAGAGGGAGTGGGATTCCCCTGGAGATGGAGTTACAAACAACTGTGAGCTGCTCTGCACAGTTGCTTAGATACATATGCTGGCCTTTGTAAGAACAGAACATCCTGTCCTTAATCACCAAGCCATTTCTTAGGCCTCTGATGTGTTCTTAATATTTTATCAGGCCACAGTGTCCACACAGCTTCCCTCTCTGGGATTTCAGAAAACAAAGTGGGATTTGTATAGGTTCCAATTGGATTTCTGTATGACTATTTTTTACCAACCCCATCAGCAACTTTCTTCCCTTGTATGCCTTACCTTTCCCCTCTGTGAAGTCTACACAGTCTAATTATCACAGGGATGGCCAATGAATGGCTACTTAAAGTGACCAATGTAATTTAACTTTGTCATGGATCTTAACATCCCATCTTGTCTGCAACAACCTATGTTCAGGTCAGTCATCCACATTTGTAGGATGGTTCAATTTGACTTCTTTTAAAATATTCAGTTTACAAGCAATGTATACTTTCAGGCTTGCACATGTCCCTAATTTGTAATTATGCTATGCCAATCATCAGTTTGAGCAGTCTCCAAACAATGTATAAGGAAAGTCTCAGGCTTCCTCCAGTTAATTTGTAAGGAAAGAGTTCCTGTTGTATTCAGGACAAATGGGGTTCTGTTTTATCTCAGGTGGAAGTGAAGGCACACAGGCTCAGATTCTCAGAAATAACCTGGATGTCAAGAAACCTGATGCTTTCCTACTTGAATGAGATTTGTGGATTCATCTCCTTGTCATAACAATGACTCCTTTCATCTTCAAGTGGAATATATATATATATATATATATATATATGAGATCTCCATGACAGTGTCTTCATTCATAATAGAGTATGTTGATAAGGTTTTCTATCACCAGTGTCCACAAATCATGCCATTGCTGAAGGGTTAAGCATTTTGACATATTGCAGAATGTTACATTGTCTCCACTAAGGAATGAAAGGAATGAGGCTGGCTGTCCCTGTCCTTCAGACCCACCAGATCCCTTGGATCTTGGTTCCTAATTATGTTCCAAGATTTAGGAATATGCTCAGTGTCCATTCCACCCCTGGAGATAATCTGGAAAAGTGACTTTATTCTGAGGAGTGCTGTTGAATCCTCTCCTGGAGTAGAGATGTCAATGACATCTTTGATGCACAAACTTGGATATAAACATGATTTCAATGATCAAACTACATATCTTTGCAGATTTTTAGATTTCTAATGCAGGACCCAATTATTATCACCTGGAGTGACTCCTGGTCACAATTCTAAACTATTCATCTCTGTTGTGAGTAGCAGGACCTCACTATTCTTTATGCCTTTAGCTTCTGACACATGTGTGTGAGGCTTCCCTTTCATAGAGATGCCTTATCTCATTTTGAAGTACTGTTCACTCCAGAAAGAAGTGCACAAACTCATCTATGTCCTCCACACTCATCCAATCAGATGAGGACATTGACCTGATTCTGTCTGTCTGTTATGTCACATAGATGAGCAGCTAATTAAAAAAACCTTGAAACAACCATAGAACCAACCAAGATTTCAGGCTCATCACCCTAGTTTAATATTATGCCTTGTTGAACCCTAGTCCCAAATCTCAATTTTCCTTTTCCCTGGACTTGGTGTGAACACTGTAGCTACATACATGTGAGTTATTTTTATGTTTTATGATGTGTTGACCAAGATTCAGAATCACACAGCTGGTTCATGAGCATAGGTAACCCCAATCACATTGGTCCTGTTCTGACCCTCAAAAGAGACACTGTAAATGGTCCATGGCCTGCTGGTTGATGGCCTCCATGCTGTTGTACACAAAGGTGCTACTTAGAAGAATAGCTAGGGCAAAAATACAGAAGTCATTCTGGTTGTCACCCTGGAAGTCAGAACAAACATGGGTCAGGAGTAGTATTGGTTCTTATGTCAATTGCAGATCAGCAGTGGTAAAACATACTGATTTCATTTGCCTAAAATTAAGAGGAACCTTTATGTCCTGCACAAAGTACAAAACGAAACACAAAATAGAAATAAACCTACAGATACCATCCACAGCACTTGCAGGGTGGACATTCTGTTGGTTTGTGGTTTTATTTGTAATGATTCTCACTAGAGCTGCTAAGTCTGTTTAGTGTTTCCCCCTTCTAGCATCTGTGAATGCCAGGCATGAATGAGGTACACAGGCAAAATACTCATACAAATAAAATTAAAATAAATAAATCTCTTTTGAAAAATGAGCACAATCCAGTCAGGAGGATTAACTCAAGCCAAAGGTAGTACTGATCTCACAGTCAGAGACAAAAGAAATGCAGTTTTCAGATATGCAGAATGCTACATATAGTCACAAGGCCTCCAGACTTGCACCAAGGTGTAGAATGAATTCTAATTGGTCTTAGTAAATAAAACTCAGAGTTAATTATCATGTGTGAAAGCTGAAGGATCAGAAAAGCAGAGCAATTAACCACTAGATAGTTAATACCTCAGACTGAATCCTCTGACTGCATCTTCCCTTCTGTCTCCTCCCACCTTATATTCCTCTCTCTGCCCCACAGTATCACTTCTGTCTCCACCTCCCTAGTGCTGGAATTAAAGTTGTGGAATACCAAATTATGGGATCAAAGTTGTAAACTCTGTTTTTCTTTTAGACTGATTCACTTTCACGTAGCCCTGAGTAGCCTTGAACTCATAGAAATCCTTCTGCCTATGTCCTGAGTGCTGGAATTAAAGTGTGGCCACCACTGCTTGACCTATGTGGCTAACTAGTGACTTATCTCTTAACTAGGTGTGTGACTATCTAGTGGCTAAGCTCTGCACTCTGATTTTCAGGAATTCTTCATTAGAGCACAAACAAAATATCTCTACACTAAGATTCTATAGAAAATGTGTAGCAGGGTCAGTGTCTCATGTGCAGCTCATGAGCTTGTTGTGTATGAGGCTGTGAGGGCAAAGATGAAGTAAAAATTGAGACCCAGGAAGTTGTAGATGCCAAAACTAGGATGTCTACTGAGGAAAGCTGGGGTCAGAGAGTTAATCTTAGGGCCGCCTTTTCCAGTATTCATACACATAAAAGTTAAAAATTTCTGTGCTAACATTAATATTTCAGTTTTCCAGAGACAAAGGGATTTCTTGACAGCGATGTTCAACTGCTTCAGAAAGAGAATGGATTCACTTCCCTGACGCTGCCTGATTCGACTGGATGCATCTAACCTGCCCCACATCATCGACCCCACCTGACAGGCACCATCCTGAAACCAGCTTGGAACTACATCTCTCGACACATCGTCAGGCCAAGGAACTGACACAGTGTATCTTCTACAATCTGATCAGAGCTTCAGATAAGAGCTTCAATCAAAATCAGAAATCTAATCCAGAAATTCAGTCAAGCCTCTCCTGCAAAACAGAGACCAACTGACCTACTTAAGACTCTTGTTACACTAACAATTTCTTCCCACAGGTCCCCATGATTGTCATCATCCCACTTCAGCAGGAAGTAAATTTGAGAATTCCAAGTCCCCTCTCCCTACTATTGACATTAGAGGATAGTTTACACCTATTAGTGTTACTTTGCAATTATTTTAGGGTTGGGATTGGAAGGAGGTGTTCAGACTTAGGCATCCCTTTCAGATAAGTTTAGAATTTAGGTGGAATGGATATGTTTAGTTTAGGATAAGTATATTATAACTTAATTATCACCCTCTATGTATATATGTTGTATATGTTTGAGTTTGTATCAAATTTAAATTTTCTATTTAGACTAAAAGGGGAATTGTAGGAGTGAACCCCACAAAGCTATCCGCCCAACAGGGCTGGGTCAAGGTAGAGATAAAAGGAAGTGAAAGGAAAAGGGGCTTCCCTTTTCTCCTGGAAGCCAGCCACGCTTCTAACTCCTGGTCTGTGCGACTCTCTCTCTCTCTCTCTCTCTCTCTCTCTCTCTCTCTCTCTCTCTCTCTCTCTCTCTCTCTCTGGTAAATAAATATATTGTTTTCCCTATATAGCTTTGAGTATCGTTATAACTATTTAAAATATTTTGCTTGCATGGGAGTTCCAAAGGTGATAATGAACAAACAGTAGTTCTCTTATTCTAATAAGGCATTCAGCTATTTTGTACTCAATAGCAAATTAATCACAACATGTATTCCTTATTCACAAGGAATTGTAGAGCATGCTCATAGCTCCTTAAAATCCAACTTCTAAAAACTAAAAAAGGGAGTAGTAGTAATGTCACTAATACCCACCTGGTAAGTTTTTACATGTGAACATGAAATGGCTTCTTCCATGTTGCCTACAAATTGGACAGGGTAATGTGTATTAGCCACACTTCTTCCAGATGTAATGTAGAATTTATTCCAGGAAGTGAGCCCATAGATTATCTTATTCCTAGATATAAGAGAGACATCTAATTCATCCCACTGTTAGTGGGACTTGGAGTATTGGGCCTTAGCCACTGGCTCCACAAGTATGGGAGTAGCTATTCAGACATACTTCACAATGAACCTTAGTCACATGCCGACTGCAAAAGTGGCTATAAAAATCACCTTTGTCACCACATGGTGAATTAAATCATGCATTCTTCATTTAAAAATTTTTAAATGTGGATGCCAGTAAACAATCTACTACAGACAGATTCTGGCATGATGGAGCTAAACTTTGCCCATGTCTTAAAACATACATGCACTAGACTGTGGAAAAGACCCAATTTGGGGTGGAGGGAATGTTTAGGTTTTCTTACAAGAAAAGAAAAAAAGCTTTGTGGCTGCCAAAACTTGGTGGGAAGCATGGAGCAGAGAAAAAAAAAACGGACCTGAAACCATGGAAAGCTGTCCAAACCAGTTCCAGTCAAAACATACTGAACCAGTGTTCCTGACTCTGAATAGCCCCGCCCCTGCCCAGTTTCCTAATTTCCTTAACCCATCGCCACCTCTACAACCTCTCTCTCTTCCCCATACTATCTCCACTAATCTGATCCCTGAGAATGGTCAGCATGTCAGGATGGCCTTATCACCTGCATCTACTCACACCTCCTAAATTCTGCCTCTATGTTTTGCATTTTAGTTAAATTGATTCTCCATCTTAACTATTATTCTAAACAAGATGTGCTTTTGAGGGTGGGAGCCACAGGAGCTGGCATTAGGATTTCATTCCTTATGCTATCAAACAAGGAGAAATCTGTTTCTATGTTAACAAAACAGGGAGAGCCAAAGATAGTATGAAGAAAAACCAAGACGGTGTAGAGAAAAGAAAGAGAAAGGGAGCAACAGGAGAGTTGCTATAATAATTGGTTTTCTACTTCTCCTTGGCTATCTACCTTATTGCCCAACATTTTGGTCCCTCTTTTAGGATTTATATTGCTTATTTATTTTGGCCCATGGGCCCTTAGGTGCCTGACAGACTTTATTAAGCAGCAAATAAATAATCATGTGACAAGGCCTATCCAGATCCATGATCAGAGGCTGGACATGAAGGAGAGTGGTCCTTATCAGAAAGCAGATGACAGTGACGGCAAGGAGGAAGGTGAACTTCGACTAATGTTCCCAGCTTCCACATAGCAGAAGGAGACAAACTCCCCCAGGGGACATAATCTGCTCATGGGCCCCACACAGCCCCAGCCAGGGAACTTAGAAGGCACCTTTACCCACAAAATAAATAACCACCACTATTGATTGCTGACCAAGGGCAGGATCCCTTCTGACACTTTCACCTCCCTCTAAGACAGGAGCTTTGAAGGCTGGCAAAGTAATCCAATGACAGGTAAGGGATGAAACTTCTCTGATTGATCCTAAGACAAGCTCCATCATCCTTGTGGTTTTTAGGGTGACTTACACCCTGGCTGTGCCTAATTTCTGTTTAACCAGAAAGGGGGAGATGTCAGGGGCCTCCAGCCATCAGTCAGCTAGGCTGTATCATGAACTCATAGAGAAGACACGACCCTAAGACCACCTTGACTCCTCTTCTTAGATAAAGAAAATTCCAAGAAACAGGCCTGTGGTTTACCTGTAAGTTTAAGATTACCTTAATTAGAAAACTACAAGGTCCTCAGGAGAGAAAATGTGTTACTTTTACAAAATGGCATACTACTCAGTGGAGAAAAACAATGAAATCTTGAAATTTGAAGGCAAATGGATGGCACTAGAAGAAACCATCCTGAGTGAGGTAACCCAGTCACAAAAAGACAAACATGGTATGTACTCATTCATATGTGGATTTTAGATATGAAACAGAGGAGTGCCAATATACAATCCCAGTGCCAAAGAGTCAGGGAAACAGTAAGGACCCTAAGAAAAAAATGCATGGTACCCCAGAGAAGGTGGGATGAGGGAAGATTCCCTGAGCAAATTGAGAGCACAGGGGGGAAGAGGAGGAGGGGAAAGGGAGCCAGGAAAACGACACAGGGAGAAGGGGAGGGGAGAGGAGGACATGGGGGAGCAGGAAGGTTGATTTGGGGGAAAAATACAGGAGAGCAAGATGGGAGATACCATAATAGAAGGAGTCACTCTAGATTTGAGGGAAAATTTGGCACTACTGAGATATCCAGAGATCCACAAAGATGACACAAACTGACAAACTAAGCAATAGTGGAGAGACTCCTTTAAATGTCCCTCTCTGATAATGATTTTGAGACTATCTTACACACCATCCTAGAACCTCCATTCAGTGACAGACAGAAGCAGAGGCAGACAACCACAGCTAAACACTGAATTGAACTCATGGAACCCAGTGACAACAGAGAGGGAAGAGTGATGAGCAAAGTGGTCAAGACTGGGCTGGCAAAGCCCAGAGAAACAGCTGACATGAGTAAAGGGGAGATCTTAGACCCCAGACTGATGTCTGAGAGGCTAGCATGGGACTGATCCAGAACCCCTGAATGTGGGTATTAATGAGGACACTTACCCAATCTATGGGGCTTTGGGTAGTAGATCAGTATTTATCCTTGGCACACAAATGGAGTTGGGTGCCCCTCCCACAATGAGGGATGCTCTGTCAATTTGGACACTTGGGGGAGGGACTGGGCCCTTCCCCAGAATGAAATGACAGACTCTAGAGATCCTACTTGGAGGGCCTTACCCTCCCTGGGGAATGGAGTAAGGATTGGTTGGGGGGCTGGGGGAGCTGGGAGGGGAAGTGGGAGTGGAGGGAAGAGAGGAGGAGCTGGGATTGACATGGGAAGCAAGCTTGTTTCTAATTTAAATATATAATAAAAAGTGTCCAAAAAAAGAAATAGGCAAAAGAAGAAAGGGGGGACCAAATGGTATTTCAGTTTGAAATAACATACCACCTGTATATAAGTGGTCTTTACAAACTAAGATGTTTCAAAGAAGGATTCTTACTTAATTACTTCCCAAATGAAAATAAATAAATAAATAAAATTAACAATTAAAAATAAAACCCTATATCATAACAAAATCCAAAACAAAAAGCAGCAACGGTCTCCAAAACTCAGAGGCCACATTAAATGAAACAAGAGGAGAGAATTGCACTATTCTAGGGACTGTTTTATTCTTCATGCGTACCCTGTCATGATTTTTATGTAGCTGTTTACAGAACCCAGCAATTTTTTGTCATCTTAAGCATTCAATGTAGTGACTTATATGTTTTTGCATCAGCCATTTTCCTTAGGATGAATAAAGCCTGATGTAAGTAATTTATTTTGGTACATTCCAGGATTTTCTGGATGACATTTTTCATGGAGTTTTGCATCTAATTTCATGAAGGATGTTGGTCTATGGTTTCTCTGATTTGTGCTGTTTTTGAACTGACTTTCGTATGAAAACAATGTTGTTCTCATAGAATGAATTAGGAAATGCTCCCTCTTGCATTTTCTGAAAGAAACTCTGTAGAATTTTGTCTTATTTCTTCTTTACATGTGCAGTAATAGCAAGCCTCCTGGACACAGAGAAGTAGCTGTGGATGGATGGTGGACTTACACCAGTGATAACTAGTGTTGAAAAGTAATACTGGGCGCAGCAAACTCACCAGGCATTATTGGGGACCAACACTTGGCAAATCCAGGGTTTGCTGAGTGAATACATATTCCTGTAACTTTCTCAGGTACTACTGCTATGCCTCCCTAACAAGAACAACTGTGGAGTTCTTTCCACAGCCCTTTGGTGGTGTGTTTTATACTTGTTCAGGATACATATAGCTGTGGATTGTCAGGAAGATGATGCTTAGCCTGCGTGAATTTGATGAAGAGAAATAATACTAGGATATTTTACATTACTCACATTGGTATAGGATTCTCAGTCACAAAGAGAGCCTTTTACACAGACAAGCTAACTTTAGGCTTCAGAGCAGATTTAAAGCAGGCTTTTTGCCCCTGGAGACAAGGTCATTTCCACAGGTGTTGTTTTTCTGATTCAAGGCCATAGTTTGAAGAAAGTTTAGTCTCCGTGTATTACATAATGTCATGGTTCAGCAAACTGTTTACATATTCCCTGCACTACATACAAGGCAACTTGCTCACTGGCTGATCAATTTGACAATCTTAGCCTGAGAGAAACTATGGGAATTATATTGGAGCTTGAGAAGGTGATTGGCCCTAAAAATGTAACTTATACTTGTCCAGAGTTGGCCTGTGGAAGAGACAAGCCAATGGAGATATAAATGAGGCAGAGAGCAAAAAGGCAGAAATAGCAGACTCAGCATCAATGTAGGGAAGCAGAAGGTCAGAAACAGCAGACAACAACAGGGATACAGAGAACGGAAGTAATTGGGCAGAGAGAGAGAGATAAGTAGAGATCAAAGAGAAGGATGTAAAAGTAATTAGGAAGAAGTTAATGAAAAGAACATTGGGATGAAAGATAGAGAGATTTTCCAGAGAGGACAGTTCAAGTTAAAGTAAAGAGAAAGTTACCACCAGAAAGCATCTATGTTTCTTTATTTCTTCCCCTCAGATAGAAAAGTCTAGCTCTCGCCACATTTGAGGATTTTTTTTTACATACACTGGTGCTGACTGGGCTCTAGACCCTTGGAGTCAGCTACAAGTATCTTTTAGATTTTTTTAAAAATATAAATCTAATTTCTTGAGCAGATATAATTCAGGTGATATGGCTTATCCTAATAGATTATGACAGTTAATCATAATGATTACTAATTGACTTGAGAAGTTCTTGAATTCAACAGGGAACACATATTCTGACATATCTGATTGGGAGTTTATCGATTGGGTTAATGGAGGTGTGAAAACTACCCTAACTTTCCACAGAGAATTCTATCATCTGGAGTTTCTGGCTAAATATAAAGGAGCAATTGATTGAACAACCAGTATTCACCTCTCTGTGTCTTCTCACCATGGATATAACATAACCACCTTCCTCATATCCCTGCTCCCATATCCCTGTCATGATGGACAGTAACCTTAAATGGAACCAAAGTTTACCCTTTCTCAAAATACTTTAGTCAAGTATTTTGTTGCAGAAACCCAGGAATAACAAATATAGTGAGTTTAGTGCTTTATGCTTCCTTTGAGGAAGTGATTGACTTATCTTAAATGTCAAAGTTATTTACATGGATTTGTCAAAATGCTTATTTTAAAAATGATATTTGTTGCCGGGCATTGGTGGCGCACACCTTTAATCCCAGCAGAGGCAGAGGCAGAGGCAGGTGGAACTCTTTGAGTTTGAGGCCAGCCTGGTCTACAGAGTGAGTTCCAGCACAACCTCCAAAACAATACAGAGTAACCCTGTCTCAAAAAAACAAAACGGACAAAAAAAATGAACTTTGTTACTGACACATGGTTTTTATAATTTTCATTTCATATATTCAATATACTACGTCATATAACCATATCTTGTTTGTGTGTCATATATATGTATAAGCAGTCAGGAATTGTATATCACAGAAAATATATATATTTGTCTTTCTGAGAATGATTTAATTTTCTTAGTAGGATTATATCCAGTTGAATTCACTTCCATAAAACAGCATGACGCAGTTCTCAATTGCTTTCTACATTAGTTTTAAAAACAGGGTCTCTCAGTGAACCTGGAGCCCATCTGGTGACTGTGCTGACTGACTAGTAGCCCCCCTGGGATCCTCTCTACCCTTGACGCAACTTCACTGCCAGGCTTATGTTAGTATACCACCATGTCTGGTTTGCTATGTGGGTGATGAGATATGAATTTACATCCTTGTGTTTGCACAGCAAAAATTTTACCCACTGAACTACACCCCCCAAATTACCTCAATACATTTAAAACTTGTTAACCACTTACTTTGCACTTCTGGCAGGTGTGATATATTTTAGATATTCTCATTATTACTAAGAGCTGGTCATAATTCAAGAAAATAATCTTTATTCTTCTTGGGTAAAGATCAACAGGATTTCAAATACAGGTGCTAATAATAGGAACAGAGTAGTGTAAGTTTAGGTTATAGATGAATCATTAAAATACCCTTGATATATGTAGATTACCCATCATCATTTAAAGTCCATCTTTAAAGTTATTGTTCTACATTATGATTAGTTCATCATCTTAGTATGTATTCCATGTAAACAGTTAAAACTTAGAAATGTCTAATTGCAACTTCAATCTACATGAACTGATACATTCCCTTCTTTGTTCCATTGACCTGTGATTCAGATTCTTGTGCTAATGGCTTCTTCCCTTTTTCTGTAGATACTATACATGCATACTCTAAATCTCGATGCAGGTGTCTTGATTTATAATAGAGTATGTTGATAGAGTTATCCATCATCAGTTTCCACAAATCATGCCATTGCTGAAAGGTTGAGCATTTTGGATAAAATGAATAACTTTACAATGTAGGATATGGGACTGGATATTTCTGACCCATCACAGTCCTGGACAATTTTTAAGAATGTGGTAAGTGTCCATATGAACCCTTGAAAACACCTGAAAAGTGGACTTTCTTCCAAGTAGTGTTCTTGGTACATCTCCTGTGGTAAAGATGTGAATGGAATCCTTACTGCAAAATCTTAAAATGAAGATAAATATGATTATAAAGATCACACTGAGTATCTTTGTATACTTTTTCAATTAGAGAAACTTTTGTTCCCAATTCTATACACTATTCAGCTCTGCTTCGAATGTTAGAATGGCAATGCTATTTTGGTCTTTCCTCTTTTCCTCAAGACTTTCCTTCAAATAATTCATTAGTTCTTCAAGTGTTCTTGTCTCTTTCTGTAGTAGTTTAAGTTCCTAAAATGTAACAAGTAGAGGTAATGAATCATTATACTGAGTTTATCCCCATGCTCTATGCAGTTTCCATAGCAATATTTATTATTAATTTCTTAAAATTTACTCAAACCTTAATTGCTTATTATAATTTTAACCTGATTTATTTGTGAGTAAATTTTAATGTTCAGAGGGTTGCCTTTACTTTTCCTTTTTTGGAATTGTTTTAGCCTGCTCCCCAAATTATACCTTTTCTTGTGCAGCTGTGGTCATTTCTCTTTGTTGTCTCTTTAGTTAAGTAACAGTTGCATTGATAACCCTAAGTTACCAGTGTTGATTTTTTCCACAGTTGAAAATAACCTCTGTAGAGAACTATGTGTTTTTTCTTCAAATTTTACCACCATAGACTTTAATACATCCTCATACTCACCCCTTAAATAAACATGCAGCACAGGAATGAATTCTGAATATGTTATTAAGGCTTTGAATCTTAGTCTAATAAATTTAGTCAAGGGTGGAGGTGGGTGTATGGCTAGGTCCGGAATATCTCTGCTGAAGTCCCCAGTATCTATATAAGAGCTAGATGCAGAATTGTTCTATAATACCAGGCCTTTTAGGAAGGCTGAGCAGTGATCTGAGGATGCCTTTTCATTCTTCTTAAGGAATTCCTCTTGCTTTACATCTAGCCAGGTCTTTGATATAAAAAAGAAAAGAAAATAATTAAGAAGGGAAAGAAGCCTGAGTTTGGAATTTCTGATGCATTTCTTAAAAACAAAATCAAACACAAAAGAAAAAACAAAGAAAAACTTATAAGCACTAACTATAAATGCATATTTCTTCTGATGCCAGGATTTTACTGACATCATTCTTGCTCCTTGGCAATGGAGTTTGGAGCAAAGATTTACAACTTTAGAGGTAAACTGACATCACATTCAACTAAAGATACCACATGAAATAAACATGAATCACGGTTAATTTTCCTATAGTTCAAGTTTAAATAGCTGTGCTAGAATGAACATTGAATAAGTAAACTGAAACTGCACATGCAACTTGATTAGACACACGAAATACTTCTCAGTCCTTAATCCAATGAAGAAAGAATGTTGCTAGCATATTAAGAAGGAGAAATATTTTAAAGCTTTGAGTTTATGATAATCCATTTTTGTCCCATTTAGTATGATTATTAAGAGTTAGTTGTTGCTACTTTAAAATCTAGTAACATAAGCCTGCCTCAAACACTGATTTCATTTCCTCACAGCAAACTGCCTTCCAAAATCTACATCTAGGTAAATTTGAGAGGGAAATCACCTCTAATTGTATCATGAATACTTGATTAATGTCTTTGAAGGAGTCTTCCATGAAGACCTTGATGGCTTCTTTCTCACTGGCCCTGTGCAGGTTCAACAGTTCCTGGAGGGTCTCTGTGGGCAGCTGCAACTTTTGGCTCATCTGCTGGTCATAGTGGGCAATGGCCTTTGCACTGCAGCTGAATTCTCTGTCTGGGCCAATGCCTGGACAGCATTCTCTATGCAGGGCAGACTCCCACAGCTGATGGTGTTCACATAGGTTACCACCAAAGTCTTTAGTCCTACAACCATGAAACAGATAACATTTGGTACTGAAGGACGACACTATTCTGTTTAATTCTGAATATGGCTGTCACTGATGACTTAAAGCATCAGAGTTCTTAGCATCATTTGGATGAAGGATAGACAGAAGCATCTCAATGGCTACCTCACATTGATGGGATTAGACCTCCGTGCAAAGATCCTCTCATGAGTTGTGAGACCACTAGTCTAAGAATACTGGATGGAGATTAGATCAGCTTGTGTCTATGGAAATGTTTGTGTCTGTTTCAATGCAAGCACCATGAGAACAGGCTCCATACCTCTGTCATGATTCTCTGTGTCAAAAGTCCTGTCCCTAGCAAGCATTTATTTTAATTTAGTAATAAAACACATACTCCCAGTCAGAAATACCCTATCATACTGATTAGAATAAATTGCATTACCCAAGAGAATTTTATGTATGTTCTGATATGACAATGACTAACTCTGTGTGGATTTTATTGTACTGATGTCTACATTTTAAGAGCTATACTTGTTTAGTAACTGTCTGGTGAATTCAGTGATCTAGAGAAATTTAAAATGTTTTATCTTGTACCCCTTTTCCTTCTTCACAACAAGAATATCTGATACAAAAAATCTGTTATAAATCCTTTACCATCTACAGTTTGCATTATAGTGGTGATATGTGAATGTTTCTTCAAATCTGAAGGTTGTCATGGATATCTCATGCAGTGTGGCCTAAATGGTGAGCAAAAAGACTAGGAAGGGACTCACGTGGTCCATTGACCTTGATGTCTCCTGAAAGCGTTTTAACTTTGGAACAGCTGAATACATAGGAACAGAACTCTACCACTTGTTCCACGAAGTTGGAGTCCAGGTCTTGATCCTGCAAGGATTCCAGCTGGCCAACCTTCTTCCCATGCACTGGCTGCTCAAAGACAAAGCATTTCTTCTTTGGGAAGAACTTATGGATACAAAGCTGAGGCAGATTTAACACTTTTACTTTGTCTCCTTGACCAGCACCTAAATAGTGCAAAAACAGGATTTTCAGCCAGGACCGCGTAGGTGAGTATACATTTTTAAATTTGGTCATACGAGTTTTGTAGCATAATAGAAGCTGAGGTAGGAGGATTACAAATTCAGGACACCTGGGTCAGATAGTGAGACCCTAAAAACACAAAGCAAAAGTAAAGAAAATAGGGATTATGTTTGATTTAAGGTTTTCACTCTAACAAAACATTGTGAGCTTTGTTAGGCTTCTTAGGAAAAGAAACAATACTTCATTGTAAGTATTCAAACCCCTTAGTGTAGCTGGACTGTGTGTGGAGACAATATGTAAATTTAAGAGTACAGCACCATTTTATTTCCAAAGGCAATTGGATGCCTGGAGTCACATTGTTCCAACAGTTGGGCTAGGATACTGGTAACAATTTACCATTCAATATATCTTCATATGTATTGTATTCCCTGATTCAATACAAAAATCAGTTAAGAAGAGAGATTAAATAAATCGCTATAAAAGGGAAAGGTGAAAGACAAATTTGTTCTTTGTACAAAAGAGAAAATGTTTGAGTCAATCTGTTAAATCATATATTAAGCATAAATCCTTAGGAGTAGTTAGCTAAAAGAAATAAAAATTGCAGATACATGAAAATTATACATAGAAAAATCTGAATTCTCAGAGGTTTAATTGACATCCTCATTTAGCCGTTTTAGGTCTCTTACCTTGTGTAAGCTTCAGGGAATTCTCTAGGTATTCATCTGCAGAGATAGGTTTCCCATTTTCTTTCAGCTCAAGAGAAAAGTCCCTCAGAGCCCACACAAAGTCCGGGAAGAATCTCACAAACTCATCTGAGTCCTCCACCTCATCCTGGTCAGGTGAGGACCTTGATCTGATTTTGTCTGTCAGCTCTGTCACATAGCTAATTAGCTCATTAAGGAAAGCCCCAGAAACAACCATAGCACCATCCAAAGCTCCAGCATCACCATTCCACATAATCCCACATCTTTCTGGAACTTATCCCCTCACCTTCATTTGTCTTGTTCCTAACATCAGTGTGAGCACTATATATATATATATATATATATATATATATATATATATGATGGGTTTTTTTTGTTTGTTCGTTTGTTATTTCATTAACCAAGAGCTAAAGTGATGAAGCTCGTTCCTGAGGGTAGGTCACCACACTCACTCTGGTCCTGTTCTGACCCTCAGAAAGGATACTGTAGCTGGTCCATTGCCTGTTGGTTGATGGGTCCCATGCTGTTGTACACAAAAGTGCTGCTTAGAAGTATAGCCAGGGCAAAGATCCAGCAGTCATTCTGGTTGTCACCCTGGAAGTCAGAACACACATGGGTTAGGAGTTCGTCTGTTCTTATGACACTTTCAGATCAGCAGTGGTAAAATGCACTCAATTAGAAGGGACATTAACCTAAAAATGAAACAAAACACCTTTGTTACCTATGAAAGATACAAAATAAAACAAAAGGATTACAAGTAAACCTTAGGATGCCATCCACAATTCTTCCTGGGTGAACAGTCTTATGATTTGTGGTTTTATTTGTGATGATTTTAACTGAGGCTACTTAGTCTGCTGTTAGTGTTTCAGAAATACATGCTACCGCACTGATGTTCAACAATCCAGTTCTGTAGCAAGTTCCCTCATTATTGAAATCCAAACATGGCACATGTATATAGTACATATGAAAAAGATGCTATGATGAAGATAAACACTTTTTGAAAACTGACCATCTCAAAGAAAAGACATGGTATGAAATAAGTCTTGCTACCCAGCCTTGGAGCCTAAGTTCAATTCCTAGACAACCCATATATTTTACTCCAACCTTCACATATGCCTGTGGCACATGCAATGCACCCATAGGCATACAGTCACACACACTAAATAAATAAAAATATAATAATGTTTTTACAGCAGCATCGAGAGCAGTGTAGAATATTCAGAGAAGAGGGGATAAATTGCAGACTATGTCCCCAGTCCTTACTTTTTCAACATCTCCCAGGCCCTCAGTGTCAAGCAGAACTAAGGTGTGGTTTGGTTTCTGGGGATGAGAGACACACCATATCCAGATGCCCTTGGTGTGAGCCTGAACTGTCGAACTTAGAGAGAAGCCTAAAAAGCAGAGAGGAAAAGAAGGATTAGATGTGTAGGCCTAAGGGATTCCTGCAAGTGATAATGGAATTAACACACTACAACTGAAAACATGGGTCAGTGATTAAATGTGCCTGCTGCTCTTGAAGAGGACTAGAGTTCAGTTCACAGGAACTACATAGCAGCTCACTCCTGTCTGTAACTCTGGTTTCAGGAAACTTATGCCCCTTTTTAGCATCTGTGAATGCCAAGCGTATATGTGGTATACAGGCAAAATACTCATGCATATAAAATTAAAATTAATCATATTGAAAAATAAGCACAGTCCAGTCAGGAGAATAAATGGAAATCAAAGATAGTACTGATCTCCCAATCAGAGACATAAGAGAAATTCAGTTTTCACATATGCAGAATGCAAGTCATAAGATCTCCGAACTTGCACCAGGGTTTCATAGAAAATGTGTATCAGGGTCAGTCTGTCATGGGCAGCTCCTGAACTTGCTGTGTGAGGCTGTGAGGGTAAAGCTGAAGTGAAAATACAGACCGAGGATGTTAGAGATTCCAAGGCTGTGGGATGTCAACTGGGGAAAGCTGGAGTCAGTGAGTAGAGCTGGCCCTTTTGTCTTGAAAACAGCAGGACCATATAGATAGGGTCTACAAGCTGATGTGTAGAAAAGGCCACCATATCTCCTATATGCTGCACACGGCACAGAAGGGCTTGGTATTTACCCTTCGGGCTTGAGTCTTGCTAGGATGAGTTCTGTCCTTCCTATCTCCCTGAACACTGTAAATGGGAACTTTTATTCAGTGCCATTTTATATTACAGGTTGCCCTGAGTCTCAGATGAGATGGTATATTTTTATACACCATTATAACTCTAAGATAGTGGGGAATTTTGAAGATGCAGCCACATCATTTTGGAGCCAGGAGTACAATATTATGATTTGAAGATAAATGTTCATCACAGGTCCATGTATTTGAACACTTGGCCCCAGTCTGTGTGGGGAGATGTGGAAGCATTAGGAGGTAAGACCTGAATGGCAGAGGACAGGCCTTTGGAGGTTGATGTTGGTCTTGCTTATGGCTCTCTGGTCCCTTCTACCTGATAAGCCATGACATGCATAGGACATAAGCTCCTACCACTACATATATAGTCACAAAATCCTGTCTCCCTGCCATAGTGGATTGATAGTCCCTGAACTGTGTGCAAAGCAATTCCTTCTTGCTTATATAGTTTCATCAGGCATTTGATCAGTGGTGAGATGATTACAGCCCAGAAAATCTGAAAGCCTGGACTCAGATGGGTGTCTCTAGGGCCAAATGCTCAGGTTGTCACTCCTTGAGGTGCAGGTGGGGCTAAAGCTCCAGAACACTCTTCCTGTTGGAGGTGTAGATGGGGCTGAGAGTCCAGTGGTTGATGTATTAGCAGGTGTCTCCAACCTCCTAGTGGCAGTGGATGCTGGCAGGGACACAGGTGCTCATTCCCAGAGGAAGTTTTTGTGATAGTTTGTGGAAGCTACTGCTGGAAACCTCTGCCATCTTCTCACCTAGTGATCACTCCTCACTCTTGGGCCTGAAGATGAGCCTCCCTCTGACACTGCTCCCAGGTCTGGGCTCTTGGCTCCCTTTATTCTGCTCAGGGCTTGAAACTTGAACCTCTATCTGATGCTGCTCCTGATTCTGAGGATCACAACTTCATTGACTCTACTTTGGACCTGAAGCTCTGGCCTTCCTCTGACATCTCATCACATTCTTGCTCAATCACTTTGATTTACACAACCAGCTCCTAGCCTCTGATTCCCAGTGTTGATCTTCCTCCTCTTTGTGTTTCTCCTTTTTCTACAAAATACTACACAAAACCTAAATGAGAAGCAAGTCGTGTTTTAAGACATTTGTTTTCTAGTGGTCTTGAGCAGCTCCCTGATTTCTTGGTACTTATTTCATGGTTGATTTTTGAACTATACAGGATTTGCATTGGTGCACTCAATACCCTCTTTCAGTTCTGGATCATTTGCTGCTTAGCAGTTTCAGCATACTGCTACTGTGAAACCATGTCATTGTAAGAGTCACTGTTACATAATTTCATCAATTTTGCAAAACAAGAGAAACTTTATGTTGGTACATGTTGGTGCATTCTCTGGAATGACAAGGCAATGTAATGCAATTAATTTTGCAGATAGATTATATGATTATAAATACTCAGATAGGTATAAGCAATATATTTTAAAATCTTTAGGAACTGTCACAAATGCATGCATCAAACAATGAAGCCTTAATTCCTAGGAGTCTTTATTCATTATAACTAATGAGTGCTTAAATTGTTACTCTCAACCAAATAGAAGAGACAGTTTGAAAAAACTTTGAACACCTGGCACAGGAGAAAATTTCTTGAATAGAACACCAGAAGCACAGACACTAAGACTGATAAATGGGAACTCATGAAACTGAAAAGCTCTGTAAGGCAAATAGCACTGTCAACACAAAAGAGCAGCCTGCAGAATAGGAAACTATCTTCACCAACTTGATATCCAAAGTATATAAATAACTCAGAAAACTAGACATCAAAAACCAAAATAACCCAATTTTAAAACTGGGGAACAGACCTGAACAGAGAATTCTCAGCAGAAAAATTTCAAAGCATAAAGAAATCCATAAATAAGTGCTCAACATCCTTAGCCATTAGGGAAATGCAAATCAAAATGACTCTTAGATTTCATATTATACCTTTCAGAATGGCTAAGATCAAACACACAAATAAATGCTGGCTTATGCTAGAGAGGATGTGAAGTAAGGGAAACACTCCTACGTTGATTGTGGTGCACAATGTTGTACAGCAACTTTGGAAATCAATATGGTGGTTTCTGAGAAAATATGGAGTCAGTCTTCCTTAAGACCCAGCTATACCCCTCCTGGGTATATACAAAAAGGAAATTCAAGTATACCACAAGGACAATTATCTTTATTGTAATAGTTGGAATCCAGAAACAACCTAGAAGCTCCTCAATGGAAAAATGGATAAACAATATGTGGTATATTTACACAATCGAGTATTTATTACTCAATTGTTAAACACAATCTCATAAAAAACAATGACATCAGTGAATTTGAAGATAATTTGATAGAAATAGAATAAAGTCATCCTCTGTGTGTTAACGCAGGGTGACAAAGACAAACATTGTATACACTTATAAATAGAAATTAGCTGCAATGTAATAATAAAACAAACAAACAAATAAATAAATAAACAGAAGCAAGCTGTATGTTGCAATGAACCAGAGAGGTTAGGTAATGTGGGCCCAAGGCAGGACACATGGAGTTCCCTTGAAAAAGGAAACAGAAGAGTTATCCTAGAGGTGGTTGGGGTTAGAAAAATGAGGGGTCAGGTTGGGCAGTGGATGGAGAGAGAGCATACTGAAAGATGAATAGAAAGGAGGGGATGACATTTTGGTATCAGGCAGCAACTTGATGGAAGGGAAACACCCAGGAATCTACAAGGATGATCCCAGCTAATACTCCTAGCAATTGATATGTAGCCTGAACTGGTCATCTCTTGTGATCATATTGGTGACTATCTCAATTGTCATCAGAGAGCCTTCATTCTGTAACTGATGGAAGCAGATGCAGAGATCCACAGCCAAACATTAGGCTGACCTCAGGGAATACTGCTAAAGAGAAGGGAAACAGAATGTAGGAACCATAGAAATCAAGGACATCATAAGAAAACCCACAGAATCGATTAAGCTGGGCATGTAGGGGCTGACAGAGACTGAATGAACATTCAGGGAGCCTACACAGGACCATCTTAGGCCTTCCACATATTTGTGGCAGTTTTATGGCTTGGTCTACTTGTAGGAAACATAAAATGTGAGCATGAGGTGTCCTTCATTCCTTGGCTAGATTTTAGGAACCTATTTGTTATACTAGATTGCCTTGCCTAGCCTAAATACAGGGGAGGTTCTTAGCCATACCACAACTTGATATGCCATGTTCTGTTGATACCCATTGGAAGTCTGGCCCTTTCTGAACAGAAACAGAGGAGTAATGGATTGGGGAGCAGGGAGAATGGAAGGAGAGAAGGGGGGGAAATTTTGGTCAGGATGTAAAATCAATAAATTAATTTTATTTTAAAGAGAAATGAGTAATGGAATATGTAATTAATTATATTCAGCTACTATATAAAATAATGTCTCTCAATCTGATAGTCCTTTTACATTTGATGTCTGGTGTAAAAATCTTTATTAAGGGAAGTTTTTAGTGTTAAATTAAATGGAATATTTTTGCTGTGACAGCAGTAGATGTTGTCACTGTTACATTATTAAGATAATTCTTTATTAATATTTTATAAGATTCTAAAATTATACAGATTCTCTTTCACCTATGTTTCTTATGTACATAGCACTGTTGTACTTTTTTAAAGAACTTGATAGCTCTACCTTCTAAGTAAAAATAAAAGATTGTAGTTAATCTCATCTCTACCACTACAGACAGGGGAGAAGACTTACAATGACCTCAGCGGTCCACATGCCAGACCCTGTGTGCCTCAATGAGAACAGGAAAGGGCAACTGATAGGCAACCAGGAGGTTCTGAGGATCCTGTCTGACATCACACAGCCAGTGATAGTGGTGGCCATGGTGGGCTTTTACTGCACAGGCAAATACTACTTGATGAACAAACTGTCAGGGAAGCAAACAGATTAGTGCCTCCATCAAAGCTGTGCTGGGTCCCAAGGGTGTACTAATGTCACTTCCTGTATGAGAGTGTGAAGAATTTAACCTTCCTGTCACAGTTGAATGTTGGGTTTCTTTTCATTCCTCACACTTTGTTGCTTTGTCTGTTTGCATTCAATTTTGAAACAAGGTCATGCTATAAAGCTCAAATAGGCCTTTAGCTCAGCATGTAGTCCAGGCTGACCCTAAACTCACAATCTATTTACCTTGGCCTGTTGAGTGCTGATTACAGGACTGCACCACCACATCTAGCTCCTACTTTACTATCTAAAACAAATGTAGAAAAACAGTAA